TCCTCCGTCCTCCGTCCTCCGTCCTCCGTCCTCCGTCCTCCCCCCTCCCCCCTCCACAATTACACAATATGAATACTACTCTCCCACTTCCCCTGATGGCGTCCGGAAGATGTTCGGCACCCCCCCGCGAGGATCGCCGCGATCTTCCTGATGTACGGGTACTTGGTCTCCTCGACAATCGACCAATCTCCACTGCGGTTCACGCAGACGCCGCCCATGTGGGCGCGGAAGATCTTTCCGCGCAGCAGGTCGATGGCGCGCGTGGCCAAGATGTCGCCAGAGGCGTTCCAGACGCGATCCTCCTTCGCGCGCGTCGCCGCGACCTACATTGGCAGACTTCGTCACGTGGCTCGGTTGAACCGCCCAAGAAGATACAGGGTTATCCACGTCGGCTTTCGCCCTGCCGTTGGCCTCGCGCAAGGTGCCCATCTCGGGCAGCACCTCTGGCTCGACGGCGATCGGGCGCATTTGCTGGACAATCTCAGCAAATTCGTCTGACCCCCACGCGTCGATGACCCGCTTCGCTGCAGCGGATCAAACAGGCGGGCGAACTCCAGATTCATCGGGCGCATGAGGCATCCAAAATTGCTTCCCCAAGCTCTCTGGCGCATTGCCTCCCGGCCATCCCCCGCGCCCCGCGCCGCAGGGGACTGCGCCTGCGAGGCGATTGCGCCATGCAAACTTGAGCCAGCTTGGCTACTGATATCGTTGTCAACACAAATATGGATGTCCTACATGCGCGCGTTTTGGGGGCGCCCAAACACCCGTTCTTACGAAGGAACCCATAGCCGCAATAATTGGTATCGTTTTCCGGGGTTTCGCGTGCGTTTACGTTTCCATTGGGTTGCCCATCTTTTTTTTGTTTGGGGGGGGGTCGTTGCCCTAACATTATCCATTTCGGTACCCAAAGGCCGGTTTTGGAATCAAAAACCATAAGCACACGAAACAATATCGGTGTTGTACATATCCGTTTGCTGGCGCTGCTGTTAGCTTTGCCAATCGACGGATCCGTATGGGAAAAACGCGTCGTCGCTGTCATTGCCCTAGACGCGTGCTTTTTGGTGTCCAGGGTCTGTGATTGTTTGACAAAAACATGAAGTCATATCGAGTTCATACATTTCCGTCTGTTGGCGCTGCCGTTGGCTTTGCCAATATATTGCTCCGTATGGGAGATATGCGCCGTTGCTGCCATTGCCTTAGACGCGTGTTTTTTGTGTCCAGAGTATTTTGTTTATGAAAACATACGTACATGAATTAATGACGATTTCGTAGATTTCCGTCCGCTGGAATTTCTATGGATTTCCCAATCGGTTTCTTCAAGGGTGGTTCCTTTCTTCCCGCTAAGGCGTTCCTCGGACATCGGCTTCGGCCCATGACGCTCATGACACCAAACGCGGTAGCCCCAGCGAGCCGGCAGTCAGACATTGCCAACGCGAGAAGATTTCGCATCCACGAGCCCTTTGCTGGGCCCGCTGGGCCCACAATACGACTCACCTCCTTGTCAAACTGCTCGGCGGATTCCGAAAAGACCCGCTGGCGGAAGTAGTGGCGCATCGCGTTCCTGAACTCCCATGAGTAGTTATCTGGGCGACGCCCATGGTCAGCAACGCCCGAAACAGCGTCAAAGACGCCGAGGAAATGTCTGTCCGCCGTGGTCATGTCGGCATTGGGGGCACCATGTTTGACCTGGTGCTGGTTCTTGTAGGAGCCGACGGCCATGCGAAGCATCTTTGGAACAGGAAGGGGCCAATAAACAGCATATATGTGATCAGCTTGACTTTGGAGAGGCGCTGAAACATAACAGCTACGGATATGGATGATGAACGCAAGGCCGATCGCTGGAGAGACATGCGGCCACGTGTATTCTCGGCTCTCACAGCCCAACCACGCCACGTGTATCCAGCTTTTTGGTACACGTCGGTTTCGCCAGCAATTGTCCTCTTGGCGGGTGCGTTGCAACGGCAGTGCGTTGCTGGAGAGCATGGGGAAGGAGGGCGAGAGTGAATGGGACGGAAGGGGGGGGAGAAGGTATGAGGGTGGGAAGGGATGGAGGTTGAGCGGGACTGGGCGGGTGAGAGCTGGGGAGCACCCGATAGACCGCGGGCTTCGCACCCGCACCACGCCAGGCATTGCACCTGAAATGGCTGGGCGTTGCGCCCGAAGCGGGCCTTGCACCCGCAGTACGAAAGGCTTTGCACCTGGAATGGATGGGCGTTGCACCTTAAGTGTGCCTTGCACCCGTTTTGGGCTTTGCACCCGCAGCAAACAAGGAATTGCACCTTGCTCGAATGGGCGTTGCACCCGAAGTGGGCATTGCACCCGTTTTGGGCTTTGCACCCGTAGCAAACAAGGCATTGCACCTTGCTCGAATGGGCATTGCACCCGAAGTGGGCATTGCACCCAAATGCAAAATGGCATTGCACCTGGAAGTATCCTCCTCATCCTTTTCCTCCTCCTCCTCCCTCTCCTCCTCCTCCGCCTCCTCCTCCAAACACTGCCCCGAAGCATTCCTCGCTTGGGAAGAGCGGCAATGGGGCCCTGAGGCCCTCGGGACGCCACGGGGAGGCCAGGAAACCAAGAAAACCAAGAAAAAGCAAAGAACAACCAAAAAAACGCGTCAGCCAACCAATAGAGAAGAGGATTGGGCAAAGAGCGGTTCTCTTCCACGAACAAGGAAAGTCTTGGGCAAACCACCGCGGCTGTGGGCAAACAAAGAATGCTATGTGAAACGCCCACACCGTGTACCGCCCAATTCCCCCTACCTCGGTAGCGCGACACACAGGAGGCCAGCAGGCCTCCGGAGGGGGGAGAAGGACGAGGAGGAGGGAGGAGACGCAAGAGTACCTCCAACAACAAGTCCGAATCGTGCAGTGTACTTTCCACTGCGCACTCCTTGCTGGGATAGGCAGCCGACCTTCACTAGGCAAACTCATGCAATGGACCAAATCCTGAAAAACACATCGACAATGCAAATGCCCATCAAAGATGGGATGCAACCGAACCTCCATGCACGCACCCCTGGAATGCAAACCTTGCGCTGAGAATCGCAAGCATATACCCAGAGGGAACTCGACGGGTCGACATATAGGCCAGCGCTGCCAAGTGGCCGAAACTTACGTGCTTACAGAATTCAAATTCCCATGTTGCAACCAGCTATAAGTTCCGAGCCTCATCAACACACACAAACAAACGCGCCACACACACACACACATTTGAGGATTCCTGCACGGGGCGGGCCATTGAATATCACGCCTTGCCTCATGGCACCCCTCGCCGCTTCGCATTCGCTCTGCAACCTCCCACCCCCTCAACAACTACACAATAATCCCACCAGCCCTCTGGGCGCAGGTGGTCTAACGATAACTGTCTTCCCTCTGCCAAAAATCCCTCTTCCCCTTCGGGGAGGGGTTTACTCCTCCCCCTACCCCTTCCCTGGACTTGGACGGGTGGGGCCGCGAGGTGTCAGAGGGTCCATTTTCGCACAAGATGGCTCCAAAAGAGCCTCAGAGTGCCCAAGATAGCCCCCAAGATCGCTCAAGATAGCCCAACATGGCTCAAGATAACTAACACCATGCCTCCAAGAGGCCCCAAGAGGGCCGCAAGACGGTTCCAGGTGCTGTTGGCGACCCCTCAAGACCTCTCCGAGAAACCAAAATCTGTCAAACACCTGAAAAAATCACAGGTGTTTGCCTTCTCGCCTGTTCGCGTCCGATGGGCTCAAGATGGCCCTAAGATGGCCCAAGAGAGCCCGAAGAAGGGCCAAAGGGCCCCCCAATACTGCCCCAAGAGCGCCCAAGATCGCCCCAAGAGGGCCCCAAAAGCGCCCCGAGAAGCTATTCCGACGGCGCTAGAGGGGGGAGGGGAATCGAGGACCCCCCTCCTTTGATCGATGGTCTCCAAGATGGCCCCAGGAGGTGCTCTATAGCTCTCAAGAGGCCCCAAGAGAGCCCCAAGAGAGCCCCAAGAGGGCCCCATGAGAGTCCCAAGGCGCATCAAAAGAGCCCCAAGAAGACCCACGACCCTCCAAAAAGCCCTGGAGGGCCCCAAGATGCCCCAAAAGAGCTCCAAGAGGGCCCCAATGTCCCCCAATACTGCCCCATAGCTCCAAGAAGGCCTCCGATACTCCAAAACAGCCTCCAAGATGGCTCAGCACCTTCTCTCCTTCCTTTTCCTTGCACGCGCTGGTTCATTATATGTGTCTCTTCTCTCATATCCCGACAGTTCTCATGGGCAGGGTTTCTGAATGGGCTTTGGGTGTATCCTCCTCCTCCTCCTCCTCCTCCTCATCATCATCATCATCATCATCATCATCATCATAATCCTCCTCCTTTTCATCCTCACACTCTCCCTCGATCGGAGGGTGGGGGGTGAGATCGCAGTGTAACGG